CGGCCGAAATCGCCGTGACGACGCCGCTGAACCCGGCGGCGAAACGGGCTGCGCCGGGACTCGAGAGGAAAGTTTGGAAGAAGTGGAAGATGGATTCGAAGTAGAGAAGGAAGACAAGGGAAAGTAGTGAGAAAAAAACAGCGTGGAATAGAAGGAAAACGAGTGTTTGCCACTGGTCCATGCCGTAAATAGCATAGATCTGAGTCCAGTCTCTGCTACTATTGCTTTTCCCCATTAATCTCTGCAACAACAAAAAGCTAGCAAGCACGAAATTTGAAACACTTGAAAGCAATCTGATTCACTGTATTTGATGGGTTTTCGTTAAATTTCTCTGATCACTAAAATTAAGCCCACTTTGTTTAAGGAAAATCTGATGGGTGAGTGATCCGAGAACCGATCACTGAAAAAAAAAAGAGGAAAGAAAAGAAAATATCAGAGAAAACAGGAAGAGAAGAAACTAGAGGAGAAAGGGTACAAACGGATCAACCTTTATGGTAGTGATGAAACTGCAAAAATGTCAGTCGTACCGGCATCCAGAGGATAAAATGAGAATGATCTCATATTCAACTAACCATTTCTTTTTTGAATTTTCACGCGCTTTCAAGATCTTTTGTGGGTTTATTATAATTCTTTTGGTAAAGGAAACCCACAATTATATAACCACAAATGGGTTTAGAGTTAGAAATTGCGGTGGGAAAATCCACGGATTTTCTTAGAGAAAGAGAAAGAGAAAGAAAACGAGATAGTGATTGGCGAGTGCGTGAGATTCTGTTATGTATAATTCTATTTTTAACGGTGATTGGGAGATTTGTGAAAAAACTGTTGATTTTTTATTTTATTGAAAATATATATTCTCATCGGAATTGCTTATAATGTCGAATTGATTTAAAAATATTGTGTTAAATGAGTGAGGACAAAATATTACATCTAAGTTTGACAAAAATGTTTAATCATATTAATTAGCTACTGAACTGGTTTGTATAGGCAAAATCAACGAGATAATGTTCTCAAATTGTTTATTTCACGAAATAATGATCTCCCCAGATTAATTGCTCAAATGGAGTGATCTCCACAGTGTTGCCTAGGTCGCTATGGCATCCGGACGAGCTTGGAGTCTCTGCATGGCTGTGCATGGCGGCATGGCAACGTGGCATGGGTCTGGTGGCAGCATGGCAAGGCAGCATAGCAACGTGGGTAGGTCTCCAGGGAATCCCAGCGACATTGTAGGTTGCCAGGGCATCCCAGCGACATTGTAGGTCGCCAAGGGATCCCAACGACCTATGCCTTCGCCCCAAGCTCTCACGTGCTCTGCTGCCTCTGCGCCTCTGCTCCCATGCACACGATCATTCTCATGCACACGACCCTCATGCACACGACCCTCCTGAGCAGCTGCACACTTTGCAGCTCAAATCATGCTGCAATAATACATCTATTACAGCTGTATGCATGAGGTCTCCTGAGCAGATGTAAGAGGAATCACGCGAGGAGCAGGAGGAATAGGTTCTCCTGAGCAGCTGCAAGCGGAATCACACGCGAGGAGAGGATTGTATGGCTACCTATCCCATGCCACGTGCATGGCCCATGCAAAGCACCAAAGCAGAGTAGCAGGCGGCAGAACATTGGACGTCGGGCGTGCATGGCGACCTACCATGTCGCTGGGATGCCCTGGCGACCTACGCCAACACTGTGGAAATCACCCCATTTGAGCAATTAATCTGGGGACTGCCTTATTTCGTGAAATAAAGAATTTGAGAGCATTATCTCGTTGAATTTGCCGGTTTGTATATTATATTGAGTTAAATAATATTTAAATATTATTAAATATAGGTTTAAATTTTAAAATAAATGCTTCTCAGGTATTTGTATAAAAATACAAAATAGTTATAATAATAATTATAATAAAATTAATATTTATTATTATTTAAAATAAAAATATTTTATTCATTTGAACCTGGTTTGATATTAGATTGATTTGTAACGAAAATAATATTATATGATTTTTAAAATTATTACAAAATCTAAAATCATTAGCAAAAGGAGAAATAGTGAGTTTAAGCGACATATGAATTATTATATTTAAAGTTATTGTTTAGATTTAACTATTAGTAACTGGTTTAATTTTATTTACGGAATTTGATTTTAACTAATGAAAAGTGAAGAAAGTTTTATTATTAGTTAGGGTAAGTGTAAGGAATATTTGTTTAAAGATAATTTTTAACTTTTTAATAATGAACGATCATATTTCTGATATCTATAGTGTTCGAATTCGGTCTTTAAGGAATAACAATAATTTATTTACAACATAGGTCATTTGTTCGGAAAAAAGGGGAAGAAAGTTGGAAAAAAATCTTAATATAAAAATAAGTGCTTGAACTTTGCATCGAAAACGTTTTAGTGTATAAAGAATTTTTCACTAAAAATTGGTGCCTAAAGTTTCTAAATTTATACATTTAGATATCCATCGTTAAAAATCACCGTTAATTGACCATTAAGTGACACATGTCAAATTCTGGTAATTTTGAGAATTTAATTTAAAATAAAATAATATTTTTTTGAAGAAAAAAACCCAACATACCCCAAACCTTCACCCGCACCCTTACCATCACCCGTGATTTCTCCCCTCCCCCACTTCCCCCTTTTATGTCAGTCAGCAGTGATCATCACCGTAACTATCATCAGCATCGATATTGTCGTAACCGTTTTCCGGCGGGGACAATCGTTTTAATTGTTTTAAAAATAGTTACGACTTTTAATTTTGGAAAATGGGTGATTTTGGAGTAATTTGAAATAAATTAAAAAGAATTAAAAAGAATCGCCATCAACCTTTGGGTTAGGTAGGTCGAATACCTAAAAACGTCTTTTAAAAACAATTTTAAGAAAAATCATTTTTAAGACAAAAGCTGGCCTGTGTTTACCAAAGATTCGTTTAAAACGAGTTCGGGAGTCGGTTACGCGTGGGGAATGATTAGCACCCCCATAGCGCCCAAAATTGGTACTGTTTCGCTTACCCGTTGTCGTAAATGGTGAAAATCATGAATTAAATATAAAATTAAATTATGATCCATTTATTGAAATTTAATTAATTGCTTCGAACTAGTAATTTAAAGAAAATCTTTTAACTCGATAAATTTTTTTGAAATTTGGTATCCTCCATGGGAAAGCTATTCAAACTATTTCTCATTCATAAAAAAAATATTTCTCTTTAGTGATAAAATACGAATTAAATATAAATTAAAAATTGACGTTTTGCATAAAAAATAAAAAAACAAATTAATAGAACCACATTGACTCATTCACATAAAAATATTAAAATAATATAAGAAAAATTATCATGCAATATGACATCTTTATACAAGAATTATATACATATTTTATAACTATATATTATAACTTATTCATATATATTAATGTGTTATGAATCAATATGACTTAAAAAAATAAAACATACCACATCAAACTACAAATTTTTAAAAAAACTATACAAATTAAAATATTGATTAAATATCTTTAGTATTTTAAATACAAACCATACAATAATTAAAGTGAAAATTCCAGAATTATACTATAAAATGAAACTGACACAAAACAAAACACCATTGTAAGGAACTAACATCACAATATACCTTAAATATGCATAGGACTAAGAAACGTGCAGAAAATTAGAGGTTAAATTTCTAAACAACCAAAATTAAATAAACAAACAATTAGGACTAAAATAAAATATACATAAAATGAAGAGACCAAATTAAAACATCAAAGACTTGATTTTAGGACTAAAATGAGTTACAAGTAAAACCTAAATGGTTTACATAACAAATAGGCCATGCGTGAAATATATTTCCCTGACATTCCTAAGACGTTATTTTAAAGATTTAATAAATATTTATTTTAAAATGAAATTTGCCCTAATTTTATTTGTTTCTCCCTCTGTGCCGTTTTTCTTCTTCATTTCTCTTCTCCCATCTTTTTCTTATTCTTCGGTATTATCTAATTGAAACCCTTCTCAATCCCGCTCATCTTTCTCGGCCGCTCACACCCTCCTAAATGTTGGTCGGTTCCTAGCCCAAAAATCAACTCCACTTTCTCTTATACATATCTATGGTTGCCTAATGACAGATCTTAGAAGACTTTCCTTTCATTTTTAGTTTTATTTTCTATTATATTTTTATTATGTTTATTTGCAGATGTTTTGATTCCTCCTTTACCTCTCAAGATTATTCCTTTAGTCTTACAAAGAAAGGATGTGTTCAAAAGAGTTCAACTATTGGCTTCAAAAGGTAAACAATCTAAGTTATCTCTAGGCGACGTAAACTACCCGACAGCTTTTAAAAAAACGATAAGGATTCGAATAAACAAGGTAAACAAAGAAATCTCTTCTTGACTATTCGTTTTTTATATTATGATTTTTTTATCTCTTACACTCTCAAATAGTGACTAATGGAAACCAACTATTACATTAATTGAATTACAACAATTAAACTAGCATGCAAACTGTCGTTCATTGGCGACAGTAACCTCACCAAAGTGTGGTAAATTCCCGTGAGGGAACCCGAACATCTTTGGTAAATAAACCCCAAATCCTCTTTGTTTATATTATTATTTTTATATCAACCTACTTATTTTACTTATGATCAAACATGTGTTGATTTCTTTGGGTTAATTACTGGAATATGAAAATGGTTATAAACATAAAGAACAGATTGTTCCACTGCTGATTTGGGTTCGAAATAAAAAAACAAATAAAGTAATATATACTGGAAATTGAAAACGAAACTAGGATTACCTCAAAAATACTTTTATTGCTTTCGAATAGATAGATGGAATATTTCCCCTGTTTACAGTTCTTTCTTTAAAGAAAAAGAAACCCCCTCTTTTTGTTACCAGTGTTTCGAATAGGATTCCCTTCTTTTTTCAATTCCCCTCTTTTTCTTCCCCACCTCTCTTTTTTTCTCTCCTCCTTTTATGGTTTCCATCCTCACCGAATCCCCTTGTTCCTTTCCTTTTTTTTCTTACGTTTTGGTAAGATGTTGATGGGTTAGGTGAGATTTGTTGGATTTGCTGACTTTGGTGATGGTTTAGGTAGAATGTAGTTGCGTGGGTCTATAACTTCCACTAACAATTTTTTTTAGCCTTCCATCATGCAGATAAATCCAATTGAGGATGGTGCCCATATCCTTGAATCTTGTCACTACTAGTATGGTGCACGTGATACGGCCTGTTGGTGAACATGTCGTGAAACTACTGGGGAGATGTCTCGGGTCTGTATATGGTATGCATCAAAATATTAATTAAATAATAATAATAATATTTTAATATTTTTTTAAGCCAGGTCAAAACGGGTGTCTACAGCTGCCCCTCTTTGCATATTCTTGTGTTAACAAGAATAGGGCAAAGATGAAAAAGACAACCAGTTTTTGTCCGATCTTCCTTTTTATTTAGCGTTTGATTTTGATATCATTCGTTGTAAAGCGTTGGATTGAACAAGTTCTTCTCATTATGAACTTCTTCTCTCTTGTTGGATGAGTTCTTCTCATTATGAACTCTTCACTGAAAATGTTGATCCACCTCCTTCTGTGATGAAATCAAACCAAGGTTGAACAAGTTCTTCTCATTATGAACTTCTTCTTCCTCTTTGGATGAGTTCTTCTCATTATGAACTCTTCACTGAAAATGTTGATCCATCTCTTTCTGTGATGGACTTGAAAGGAACAAGTTCTTCTCATTATAAACTTTCCCCTTTAGGACGAGTTCTTCTCATTATGAACTCTTAATTAAAAATGTCAATCCCTCAAGCGAGGTGTCACTGATTCAAAATGTCGTGAATCGAGTGATAGGTCGAACAAACTCTTCTCATTATGAACTTCTTCTCCCTCTGTCGGATGAGTTCTTCTCATTATGAACTCTCCATTGGAAACACTAATGCGAAGTTGGACAAGTTTTTCTCATTATGAAATTATTCTCTCTCGTTGGATGAATTCTTCTTATTATAAACTCTCCATTGGAAATTTTAATCCATCTCTTTCTTTGATGGATTTGAAAGGAACAAGTTCTTCTCATTATGAACTTTCTCCTTTAGGACGAGTTCTTCTCATTATGAACTATTCTCTGGAAATGTTGATCCCTCAAGCGAGGTGTCACTGATTCGAAACGCCATGAATCGAGTGATAGGTCGAATAGGCTCTTCTCATTATGAACTTCTTCTCCCTCTGTCGGATGAGTTCTTCTCATTATAAACTCTTCATTGGAAATGTTGATCAATCTCTTTCTGTGATGGATCTTAATTGTTACTGACTCTCTCTGAATTTCTGTCAAAACATTCAAAGCATTTCAATGAATATGAATGAATGAGCATGTTCCTATTTATAGATGCTTACTGATGTATGCATGATGGCATTTTATTATTATGAACTTTGTGGTCCTGCAAATTTTCATTTTAAATGCGTCATCTGTCCTTTCGTTTGCACTCCACATTTTGCTTGGGCTATTTTACGCAAATTCTCATTTCTCTTGTTCCCATGCAAATCCTTTTATGTTTCCTTTTGAACTGCTCATCTTTGTCAGCGTATCAAAATATCAGTGTTTTCAATGTGCTTTCTTTTCTCAACTCACATGCATTTTCTTTGGCCATATCATACCCTAATCTTTTCAATCATTAGGGCTAGAATCTCTAATATGGAAGTATTAATTCAGAGTAATACCAAAAATCTTTTATTTTTTAATGCCATGTCAATCTACTTATAAGAAGAATGAATAAAATTGGAACTTGAAATAACAAACTTCGAATTTACTGACAAGAAATTGAATTTACAAAGTTATGGCAATCACATGAATAATGGAAATTTAAAACCATAAGTCAAATGTCCTTATGGATCATTAGCACGAATGTTCCTGAATCAATCCACTTGATATAACTATTGAGTTGAGCTTCTGTCTGGAGGACTTCGAGAATTGCCAAAATGTCTATAGATGTGAAGCTTCTCTCAAAATATCAGACCCTCAAGAAGATTTAGTTGTCTGATGCCTAATCTCAAAATGCTTTTGAGCCGCCTTTTCAGGTTTTCAACTCAAAGTCTTCATTTGGTTTCAAAATGTCCTTTGCGGATTTTCATCTCAAACCCTCCTTTTTCTATTTTTCTTTTTTTTCTCTTTTTTTTCTTCTTTTTATTTTTTCATTTTTTTTCAAGCATAGTACTTCTTAATAGAGTCTGAGTTTACCGGATTTCTCAGTTTTTCCCCATCCATCTCTGCTAAAATCAATGCTCCCCCAGAGAAGGCCTTATTGACAACATATGGACCTTCCCAATTAGGCATCCATTTTCCTCGGAAATCTTTATGAATTGGCAGAATCTTTTTTAGCACTAGATCACCCTCTCGAAATTCTCTAGGATGAACCTTCTTATCATGAGCTCTCATCATCCGTTTCTGATACATCTGACCGTGGCAAATAGCTTTTAATCTCTTTTCTTCAATGAGATTCAATTGGTCAAACCGAGGCTGAACCCATTCAGCTTCATCCAACTTTACCTCTTTCAGAATTTGAAGTGATGGGATTTCTATTTCCACTGGCAAGACTGCCTCCATCCCGTAAACTAAAGAGAAAGGCGTTGCCCCTGTCGAAGTTCGCACTGTAGTACGATATGCATATAAAGCAAAAGGTAATTTGTCGTGCCAATCTCTGTAAGTCTCAGTGGTCTTTGTGATGATCCTTTTAATATTTTTATTTGCTGCTTCCACTGCCCCATTCATCTTTGGACGATAGGTCACTGAATTAGAATGCTTTATCTTGAACTGAGTACAAAGTTCTACCATCATTTTATTGTTCAAATTGGTGGCATTATCTGTGATGATTCTTTTTGGCAACCCATACCGGCAGATTATCTCTCTCTTTATGAATTTGCAAACTGTAGATCTTGTGATATTTGCATATGAGGCAGCCTCAACCCACTTAGTAAAATAATCAATTGCCACAAATATGAAGCGATGTCCATTCGAAGCCTTTGGTGTAATTGCCCCAATGACATCCATGCCCCACATAGAAAACGGCCATGGTGCAGTCATCACGTGCAAAGGTGACGGAGATGCATGGATCTTATCACCATAAATTTGACATTTGTGACATTTTCTTACATAATCAACACAGTCTGAATGCATAGTGGCCCAATAATATCCATATCTCATGATCTTCCTGGCCATAGAAAGCCCACTTGCATGTGTTCCACATATCCCTTCATGCACTTCTTTAAGTATACTTCTTGCTTCTCGGGCATCTACACATCTCATCAAAACTTGATCACTACCCTTTCTGTACAAAACTTCCCCATCTAATACATATTCAGCAGTCATCTTCCTTATTGTCTTTTTATCGATCTCAGATGCATGTAGTGGGTAAATTTGATGCTTGATGTATTGTAAAATGTCATAATATCATGGACGATCATCTACCTCTTCTTCGATATCATAACAGTGTACCGGGGTTTTATATATTTGCATTTTAATTGGCATCATATCAACTCTTCTATTTGCTTGGAACATTGCAGCCAGTGTGGCCAAAGCATCTGCCATTTGATTATCTTCTCGAGGGAGATAATTGAAATTGACATCTTCAAATTCTTTTACCAATTCAAGGATCAATCTTCGATATTCCACTAACTTTGGATCCTTTGTCTCCCATTCTCCTCGCAATTGATACACCACTAATGAGGAGTCTCCATATACTTGGAGCACTTTGATTTTTCTTTCTATAGCTGCTCTTAATCCCATAGCACAAGCTTCATACTCTGCCATATTGTTGGTGCAAAAGAACTCCAATCTGCTTGTAAAAGGATAATAGACATTTTCCGGGGAAATCAGTATCGCTCCAATTCCTTGTCCTAAAGCATTAGATGCCCCATCAAAATACAACCTCCAGGATTTATCATCTGAAATTGTTTCCTCCTTGGTTGTAATGCACATCAAATCCTCGTCTGGAAAATTAAAGTTCAAGGACTCATAATCATCTGAAGCACGACTTGCAAGGAAATCTGCTATGGCACTCCCTTTGATTGCTTTTTGATTCACATATACAATGTCAAATTCTGATAACAACATCTGCCATCTAGCCAATCTACCAGTTAAAGCCGGTGATTCCATTAAATATTTCAAAGGGTCAAGCTTAGATATCAACCAAGTAGTGTGGTATAACATGTATTGCCTGAGCCTTCGAGTAGCCCATACCAAAGCACAACATAGCTTTTGAATTGGCGAGTATCGGATCTCACAATCGGTGAACTTTTTGCTTAGATAATAGATGGCTCTCTCTTTCTTTCCAGATTCATCATGCTGCCCCAAAACACATCCCATCGAATTCTCAAAGACCGTTAGATAAAGGATCAATGGTCTACCAGGAACTGGTGACACCAGAACTGGAGTATTAGACAAATATCTTTTGATTTTCTCCAAAGCCTCTTGGCACTCGTCATTCCAAACTTCGGGGTTGTTCTTTCGAAGTAATTTGAAAACTGGATCACATTTTTCAGTTAATTGTGAAATGAATCGAGATATATAATTTAACCTTCCTAGGAAACCTCGAATTTCTTTCTGTGTACGAGATGGTGGAAGATCTTGAATGGCCTTTACTTTATCTGGATCGATCTCAATTCCTCTTTGACTAACCACGAAACCCAGAAGCTTCCCTGATGTTACCCCGAAGGTGCATTTAGTTGGATTGAGTTTCAATTGATATTTTCTCAGTCTTTGGAAAAGCTTCCTCAAGTTTTGAATGTGTTCTCCTTCAGTCCTGGACTTGGCAATCATGTCATCCACATACACTTCAATCTCTTTGTGCATCATGTCATGGAAAAGAGTCACCATAGCTCTTTGGTAAGTTGCCCCAGCATTTTTCAAACCAAATGGCATCACTTTATAGCAAAATATGCCCCACATAGTCACAAATGTGGTTTTTTCCATATCTTTAGTGTTCATTTTTATTTGGTTATACCCCGAGAAGCCATCCATAAAAGAAAACCACGAATGACCAGCAGTGTTGTCCACTAAAGTATCTATATGAGGCAATGGAAAATTATCTTTTGGGCTTGCTTTATTAAGATCTCTGTAATCCACACACATGCGAACTTTCCCATTTTTCTTTGGCACAGGGACTATGTTTGCGACCCATTCCGGATACTTTGCCGCTTGAAGAAACCCTGCATCAATCTGTTTCATCACTTCCTCTTTAATTTTTAATAACATTTCTGGCTTCATTCTTCTGAGCTTTTGCTGAACTGGTTTACACTCAGGCTTTATCGGAAGCTTGTGCACCACTATGTCTGTACTCAGTCCTGGCATATCTTGATAAGACCATGCAAAGATATCCTTGAATTCTCGGAGCAGATCTATCAATTCTTGCCTTATCTCAACAGAAAGTGTGCTGCCGATTTTAACTTCTCTCTTGTCATCATCAGTTCCCAAGTTTATAACCTCAGTTTCTTCCTGGTGAGGTAAGATCTGTTTGTCCTCCTTTTCTACCAGTCTTAATAGTTCGTTAGGAACATCACATTCTACCTCATCTTGACACTCATTGATTTCTTCCAGACATATGGGTTGCTCAAAGTTTATCTCAGTATTAAATTCATAAACATTCATGCTATTGATATGGTGACACCTGCAAAGGGAAAAATTGAATCGAATATATATTTGGAAGGAGACCAAAATTTATGAAATGAATGTAAAGAATAAAGAATAAAGAATGAAAATGAAAATGTAAATAATGATAGCCATTTAAGAAACAAAAGACTGTCTTTTATTGAAAGCAAGTAAAGTTAACATAGCTGCCCTCATGAAAATTCCTTAATACTTGCGGGCACAAGTATAAGGATTAGTACTGGGTATTACTCTGAATTAATCTTAAAAACTACAGGGAGATCCTCTGCAGTCCAATTTTTCAGTGTTTCCCCAGGGAAGCAAGGACGGATTCCAGCCAAATATCTTCCCGCTTTATCATCCCCAGTTATCATGTTAATGACCAAACCCTCCATAGCTTCATTGAACAAGTCTCTGTCTTTCATCTGCTCTTCTTCATCAATTGCTCTGGCTAACTGTTGCTCCATATCAAAAACTCCCCCAAACTTGAAAGAGCTTTCTAGGGGAGGGAAAAGCATACGCTCCCATGGAATATCCTCTCCTTTCAGTCTAGCTCTTCTCACTTCACCTCTCTTTTTCATTTCTTTCTTTCTTTGCTGAAAATCAAGCTTAAATCCCAGCCCGAAGCGATCGTTCTTCATCATGACAAATTTGGGATATAAACTCCCTTGCAAGCATATACCGAGACCCTTTCCTGTCTTGACTCCTTTTCCTAGAGTCTCTCGCACAGTCATCTTAGTACAATAAGATAAACGCGGGCGAGGAATCTTGTTTCCTTCAGCAATGAAAGTGGCGTTGACAAATTCTAAAGCTCTGAAGGAACACTCTAGGGCATTCTCATTCGTCTCAATATATGGGGCGTCAGTCGTCACAGAAGCAATAATCTCTTCCTCTGCCCCAATACTAATCAACTGGCCATTTGTCACGAATTTTAATTTTTGGTGCAAGGACGAAGGGACTGCCCCTGCAGAATGAATCCATGGCCTCCCAAGCAAACAATTATATGAGGGATTGATGTCCATCACCATAAAATCAATATTGTAGACAGTTGGTCCAATCAACAGTGGTATCTCTATCTTTCCAAGCACATCCCGCTGGGTTCCATCAAAAGCTCTAACAATGTTTTGGTAGGCCCTTATATGTGAGCTGTCCACCGGTAACCTCCGTAATGTGGCCATAGGCATAACATTAAGTGCAGACCCATTGTCAATCAAAACGCCTGACAAGACATGACCATGACAATGAGTTGTGATATTGAGGGCTTTTACTGATCCCATTCCACCATCAGGAATTATATATGTAACATGGCGATACTGTTCTAGGAATGCTTTTTCCAAGTCCTTCCATGATTTGATATGAGCCCTAGTTAATTGGTTATACCACTTAGCAGCAGAACCTGTCAAACTGTCTTGAAAACAGTGAATCAACAGTTTTTCATCGTTCACATGGCCAGCCATCCTCCGGCAAAACATGGTTATATGAGATGAAGGACAAGTGGTTCCATTGTATTTTTCAAACTCGGGAACCTTGAACTTTATAGGGATAATCAGATCTGGGACCAAACTTAACTCTCTAGCATCAGACCCATAGAACGGTTCAATCACTTCTACCGATTTTACCCTTTCTTCCAATTTCTTCAATTGTTGATTTATCTGTTCATTGGCTTTTTCGTTCTCGGCTAACTCGTTCAGATCCGGGGTTAAATGCTCGGTATTAAATTCCCCTATCCTTACACCTGAAACAGGCTGATAAATGTTTAGGAATGTGGATCCCATGTGGTGCTGCTGATTCTCATTGCTAACATATACATGAGGTCGAGTTTCTTGAGGTACCGAAGGATGAGCGGATATATGTATAGGTGTGAAACCAGGAGGAGGACGGGATTCTGGTGTAAACCCTGGTGGGTACTGAGGGTCAGAAGTAAACCCCGCAGGATGTGATGCTCCAGCTCCAAACCCTGGAGGATGTGATGGATCTTGCTCGGATGACATTAGTTGGTCATCCGCAATCCTTCCACCTGTAGCATGTTTCTTAAACATTTCTTCCATCCTTTGTAGTAGACCGGCTTGCGAGTTTGTTATCTCTGCTTCCATCTTAGTTAATCTCTCTCTCATTTCTTCTTGAGCTTGTTTTTGTTCTTGCTCAAGTTGGATCATTCTAGCTTCCATTTTCTTTATTGTATTCCGAGTACCGTACGGGTGTGAGGTGAATGCCAGAATAACTACAATGATTGGAAATCATATTTTACATTATTTTTGGTGTTTTAATGAATGAATGCATGTATTAATGCAAAATATTTAAAATAAATGCAATGCAGAATGAATGTATGTAAAAGGTATTGATCTCAAAAAGTTAATTATCATAGAACAACTTCCATTGGAACACAAAGTTTTTATTACACAATAGTTCACTTCTACAGATACGGCCTAGCCATCTGATTAAGTTCGACAACTTCTTTAATCAACCAAGACATCTTCTTCCCAAACTCAGAAACCGGATTGATGTGATGCTCGATGACCTTTGCTTCGACAGCTAATTCCCCAATGTATCTGGCAACTTCACTCATCTGTATTATAGCCTCGACTACCATGTTGCTTCTATCTGCACTCTGTTCTTCATAGAAATCATTCGATGTTTGCCACTGTTCAATAGTTCCTTGGAGATTTCCTTCTAGCTCAGTGATTCGTACTTGACAACTCTGCAGTGTGCTTTCCAGGCTTCGAATTCGATTTCGCAGTAAGGCATTCTCTTCATAACTTTCCTGAAGGTTACTTGGTCCCATGATAATCCTTCCTCGGAACAAGGATTCTTCGAGTTGCAGGATATAATCACTAAATTCTGTGATTTTAGCCCGACATTGAGCCAGATACTCTTCAAGTCTCGTTTTTGTTTCCTGCATCCTTCGATTAAGACTCTGTATTTGTACATTTTTATCTCCACACCTTTTTATCCAGCTGTTGATTGTCTCTTGTCTTGCTTCGAGCCTAGTATTGAAGTGTTTCTTTTGTAGTTCCCACCTATTTCTTTTAATATCAAATTCTTCGATTTTTTGTCCTCTAATATCAAGTTCGATAAGCATATTATTTATTTCAGTTTCAAATCCCATGATCGTGATAGTCTTCTTAGCTTCTAGCTCTTTAACTCGATCTTTCTCCCTTTTTAGTTCTTCCATAGCTTTGAGACTCTCGGCCTTGTATCTTATGATCCGCTCCCTCTTATCAAGCTCAAGCTCTTCTATTTTTTCTTTCCCTTTCTCCAAGCTCTTGAGTAGACGATCGTTTTTTTCCTTCAGATCTCTATTTCGATGTTTCTCTGCGTTTAACTTTTTGGTTAACTGGGCTGATGCTCTACTTGACTCAATTGTTATCCTAGATTTTTGCAGCTTGTAGTAACCCTTCTTCATATTTTTCAACTCCGAATCTACTTTTTCTTTTCTCTTTCTTAGCATTGCAAATTGTGCGGCATGAAAGTCAACATCAATACTCAACATGAATTTGTCTTGTCGAATCTCTTCTAGTTCTTTCGACCAACCTTCTTTCTCAGCTTCGAATTCTGCTCTTAAGATCTCTATCTCCGATGGGACTATCTGAATTCGTTCCTCCATAGTTATATCCTTACTTTGGTCAGGTAGAGGAATATTTTCATTCTTTCTTATAGACCTCCATTCCTCATAATTTGGCGTCAACATTACCTTGGCTGCATCGGCTCTAGTATAGAAAGTCTTCTTCCATCCTCTAACTGCATCCGAGATGTTTTTCTTGTAATTGTTTCCGTAGAATACAAACTCAGATGAGTGCAATCCAGCAGTGACTGGGATAAATTGATGGCCACCATATTGCCTCATAACCAAAAGTGGTGCGTACCCAATTGCTCCCCATAAACCGAGCAACATCACCCAATTATAGTCATCGCACTTATAGAGGAACTCACTTTGTATTTGCCAAGAGGCACACCAAACGATATCCTTGTCTTGCATATTCTTAAGGGCATCTATCCACATGTCTTTAGTGACTCCTTTTGGCCAATCTTTCTCTAGAAATTCTCTTAAAGGCGAGTAACTTGTACTAAACCGATGATATGAAATTTTTTCAATTTTCCAGAAGTGGCTACGGATCCAGACATATAGTAATTGCGCGCATCCTGAAAATCGACCACCTCCAAGCCTTCGACAAGCATTCAAGGATCGAAAAGTCTCTGCTAAAATTACAGGAGCAGGGTTGACCCTTTTTTGTAATTGCTCGAATAATTCCACAACTGCAGCCTCAATAAATCCCAAGGCCTTCGGGAAAATGACTAAGCCATAAATACCCAGTGCAAAGAGGTCAAATCGCACCTTCTCGTCAGGATGACTTTGAATGATTCCTTTAATAGCAATCCAAGAAATGCCTTCACTTTCACCTTTTTGTTTGGTACGAGCAACCACCCATTCCTCACGCACTCCTGCGATTTTGGCTAATTTGATTCTGAAGGGTTGAGTTTTGATGGACTTGGAATAAATCCGATTCTCTTGAGCATCCTCTATGCGCAACAAGGCAATATATTCTTCGATGGTAGGAACCATGTCTTCTTTATTGAAAGTGAAACAGTTGTACCCTGGATTCCAAAATTGAATCAAGGCTCGGATCAACTCATCATCTATATCAACATATAACAGATAGGAAATATCCCCATAACACTGGTAAAACTGCCGCTTCTTACTCGACTCCCATTTTTCCCAAATGTCTCGTAAGTCCTGAATGTCATTTCTTTTAAGAGAAACGGAAGCATAACCCGCTAAATCTGACATGTGATCAGCTAGCAAACTGTCTCCTTCCAATCTTTGCAATGCTTCAGCCCACTGTCGTACCTCAGAGTTTTGAACTACTTGATTTAAATACTTTTCGTCCATTATTGAAAGCTTTCCAATTTGACGATTAACTAAAGATCAACACCCTTAATCTTGAATGATGCAATGCAGATAACAAAAAAACACAAAAAAATGAAAATGAATTAGTACAAGTAAGAAAATTGAATACAAATAAAAATGTCATTTAAAGATGAATATAACACCTATCCCGTCATGATATCTACCCAAACATGTTATATACCCACAATGATTTTTCACGAAATTAATCCTAACCACATGGTATCTAGTTCGCATGCTGTTATTAAACAATATTTAAAGCAAAAAAGAAAAAGTTCAGAAACACTCCTCCTTTGTGTACACCTATTTTGGGTACCTACTGACAGACATAGGTTCGATATATCTATACCTCAGGTGATCGTTCTACGGTTCACTATATGCGTGGTTGCGTTTCTAACAGAAAAAGGTACTCGAATTGTCCTTAATGTTAGTGCCCCCTTGGGCTGCCAAACCCTTAATCCTCACCCATTATAGGCTTAAACGGATCGAGTTCAATTCGAGAGGATACATTCCCTTATGTCTATGCGGAGAATAAATTCTCACGAAAACATAAGGTATATGAATCCCGAAGGTTACTTGCTAGGCCTGCACGGAGAATAAATTCTCACGAAGGCGTCGCTTTTGCCCCCACTTAGAAAGGTTCGAAGCTCGGGTATAGAGCTTATGTTATGCAAATGCTCGTGACGTGTGTGAGGAGGAACATTCAACCCTTTGACTCAAAAGGAAAATGACACAATTCGACAAAACTTTGGACAAATCTGAAAACAAAGATAAAAATGTTAGTAAGACAATAATAAAATGAAGCAATTAAAAACTTCAATAAAAGGATCAAAAGTTAACTAAAGACTCGAACTCATAATTTCTACCAAACGACAATGTGTAAGCGACTTACAGACTGACTCTCTAAAAAATTCTGGTCCCCAGCGGAGTCGCCAACCTGTCGTAACCGTTTTCCGGCGGGGACAATCGTTTAATTGTTTTAAAAATAGTTACGACTTTTAATTTTGGAAAATGGGTGATTTTGGAGTAATTTGAAATAAATTAAAAAGAATTAAAAAGAATCGCCATCAACCTTTGGGTTAGGTAGGTCGAATACCTAAAAACGTCTTTTAAAAACAATTTTAAGAAAAATCATTTTTAAGACAAAAGCTGGCCTGTGTTTACCAAAGATTCGTTTAAAACGAGTTCGGGAGTCGGTTACGCGTGGGGAATGATTAGCACCCCCATAGCGCCCAAAATTGGTACTGTTTCGCTTACCCGTTGTCGTAAATGGTGAAAATCATGAATTAAATATAAAATTAAATTATGATCCATTTATTGAAATTTAATTAATTGCTTCGAACTAGTAATTTAAAGAAAATCTTTTAACTCGATAAATTTTTTTGAAATTTGGTATCCTCCATGGGAAAGCTATTCAAACTATTTCTCATTCATAAAAAAATATTTCTCTTTAGTGATAAAATACGAATTAAATATAAATTAAAAATTGACGTTTTGCATAAAAAATAAAAAAACAAATTAATAGAACCACATTGACTCATTCACATAAAAATATTAAAATAATATAAGAAAAATTATCATGCAATATGACATCTTTATACAAGAATTATATACATATTTTATAACTATATATTATAACTTATTCATATATATTAATGTGTTATGAATCAATATGACTTAAAAAATAAAACATACCACATCAAACTACAAATTTTTAAAAAAACTATACAAATTAAAATATTGATTAAATATCTTTAGTATTTTAAATACAAACCATACAATAATTAAAGTGAAAATTCCAGAATTATACTATAAAATGAAACTGACACAAAACAAAACACCATTGTAAGGAACTAACATCACAATATACCTTAAATATGCATAGGACTAAGAAACGTGCAGAAAATTAGAGGTTAAATTTCTAAACAACCAAAATTAAATAAACAAACAATTAGGACTAAAATAAAATATACATAAAATGAAGAGACCAAATTAAAACATCAAAGACTTGATTTTAGGACTAAAATGAGTTACAAGTAAAACCTAAATGGTTTACATAACAAATAGGCCATGCGTGAAATATATATTTCCCTGACATTCCTAAGACGTTATTTTAAAGATTTAATAAATATATTATTTTAAAATGAAATTTGCCCTAATTTTTATTTGTTTCTCCCTCTGTGCCGTTTTTCTTCTTCATTTCTCTTCTCCCATCTTTTTCTTATTCTTCGGTATTATCTAATTGAAACCCTTCTCAATCCCGCTCATCTTTCTCGGCCGCTCACACCCTCCTAAATGTTGGTCGGTTCCTAGCCCAAAAATCAACTCCACTTTCTCTTATACATATCTATGGTTGCCTAATGACAGATCTTAGAAGACTTTCCTTTCATTTTTAGTTTTATTTTCTATTATATTTTTATTATGTTTATTTGCAGATGTTTTGATTCCTCCTTTACCTCTCAAGATTATTCCTTTAGTCTTACAAAGAAAGGATGTGTTCAAAAGAGTTCAACTATTGGCTTCAAAAGGTAAACAATCTAAGTTATCTCTAGGCGACGTAAACTACCCGACAGCTTTTAAAAAAACGATAAGGATTCGAATAAACAAGGTAAGCAAAGAAATCTCTTCTTGACTATTCGTTTTTTATTATGATTTTTTTATCTCTTACACTCTCAAATAGTGACTAATGGAAACCAACTATTACATTAATTGAATTACAACAATTAAACTAGCATGCAAACTGTCGTTCATTGGCGACAGTAACCTCACCAAAGTGTGGTAAATTCCCGTGAGGGAACCCGAACATCTTTGGTAAATAAACCCCAAATCCTCTTTGTTTATATTATTATTTTTATATCAACCTACTTATTTTACTTATGATCAAACATGTGTTGATTTCTTTGGGTTAATTACTGGAATATGAAAATGGTTATAAACATAAAGAACAGATTGTTCCACTGCTGATTTGGGTTCGAAATAAAAAAATAAAGTAATATATACTGGAAATTGAAAACGAAACTAGGATTACCTCAAAAATACTTTTATTGCTTTCGAATAGATAGATGGAATATTTCCCCTGTTTACAGTTCTTTCTTTAAAGAAAAAGAAACCCCCTCTTTTTGTTACCAGTGTTTCGAATAGGATTCCCTTCTTTTTTCAATTCCCCTCTTTTTCTTCCCCACCTCTCTTTTTTCTCTCCTCCTTTTATGGTTTCCATCCTCACCGAATCCCCTTGTTCCTTTCCTTTTTTTTCTTACGTTTTGGTAAGATGTTGATGGGTTAGGTGAGATTTGTTGGATTTGCTGACTTTGGTGATGGTTTAGGTAGAATGCAGTTGCGTGGGTCTATAACTTCCACTAACAATTTTTTTTAGCCTTCCATCATGCAGATAAATCCAATTGAGGATGGTGCCCATATCCTTGAATCTTGTCACTACTAGTATGGTGCACGTGATACGGCATGTTGGTGAACATGTCGTGAAACTACTGGGGAGATGTCTCGGGTCTGTATGTGGTATGCATCAAAATATTAATTAAATAATAATAATAATAATATTTATAATATTTTTTTAAGCCAGGTCAAAAACGGGTGTCTACAGATATCAAACCCTGGTGACCTTTCGCTATAAGCTGCCGTCGTTTGCCGTGGAGAAGTGTTTAAAATTTCGTCCATCGTCACTATTTTTCATTGATTTCGGTCGATCCAAACATCCACATGTCACACCATCACCACTATTTGAACCACCATCTAATTCCGCTCAAAATCCTCGTCGTCGTTGCTCCGTCAGTGCTCTTCTGGTGTTTCACTATAGTAACGGGGTTGAAATGAGATTTTTTTTTTATAAGTTTATTAAAAGTTTGGGATTGTTTTTTAAATAAATTAAGTTTTTTTCCAAAATTTTTTTTTCATTAAAAACAATATTTCTATTATTTAAAAATAAAATAAAAATATATAATAATAGACACCTAAAAATATAACTAAGAAAATTTTAAACACTAATTTTTAATAAAAATTTCTTTAGACATCAAATTATTTTTTAGATAAAATTCATACACTTATTTTTTTTATTAAAAAAAAGACATGTAAAATAAATAAATAACTCAAAGCGTCCAAGTAACAAGTGTTCGAACAATTAAATAGAGTGGGTCCATGCCCACTGTTAAAGGAAACGAGAAAAGAAAACGCGGGAATGACAGACCAAAGCCACTAGCCGGGCCCGGCTGTGCCGGTTTTTTCTTCTCGGATACGTTATTTTAATGTAATTTACGGACTTAATTCATATAAATTAATAGTATTATTCGTATCTTCGGATATAATGACCTAAAAATTAAATGAGAAATTACTATTTCTGATATAATCTATCAGAACTCAATTTACTGTCACTAATTACATTTACTGAATTTGTCAACTTAAGAGAAATTATAATGACTCTACCCTTAATACTAACACTAAAAATTACTAAAAAAAAAATTTTAGTCAACACTGACATAAAATAAACTTAACATCTTAACTCTTACTATTCCTTTTTTCCATCCTCGTTAAGGCAATAACTTTTAATATTAATCACTAATTATGACTCTTCACCTAAATTAAATAATATAATAATGTAGAACTGTAACCAAAGATTGACGAAAAGAGGACACAGGAGACAGTCGTCTATTTTTAATTCATAATATATTTTAACTCTTAAAATTGGATAAATTCATTTATTTTAATATTTTAGTAATTTATTTTCTTAATATATAATTATGCGTCATTCCGTGAGTGCCACGTCCATCTATTCTCGTCAACGAAGTTGAATTTATTACATGGAATAAAATTACAAAAAATAATAAAAATCTATCACCAAATAACATTAATATTTATCATACTGACCTAATCTAGCACCCACCAAATTGGTATTTATCATTGGACTATTTAGCCGATTCATACGTGAAACAAGCAAAACAAACCAGTAAAGCGACGCATAACAGACTTTTACTTCTTCTTTCTGATTCTATTTCTAAACTACATTCATTGGGGTGCTTCAAGTGGTCCTATTTGGTACCTATAAAATAGGCATTATTATATTAAAAAACCTCCGAAAATTAATTTTTTTAAAGAAATACCTCCCACCCAATATTAATTAGAAAAATACTCTCAAATTATCTACGTATGACTACTTCGCGTCCTATAAAATGTGTTTAATAGTTTGATTTTCCTTTTTTCTAATTTTATTTTTTTATTTGGTACCTATTTGTAACTTATTACTACTATAATTTTTATGACGTTTGACTGAGAACACAAAATCAATAGGTGTTTTTCAATTTATTCAAACAAAGCTTTTAATTAATTAATTAATTAATTATACTGTATGACGTTGATGTCAAAATTGGAAGACAGTGACATTGAACATGGAGACCTGTCGGCAAACATAGTTTTCAACTCTCAAATATCATAGAGTCTAACATTATTTTATTCATATAATGTTTTCTTTTCCCTGTTTCTTTTATAATATTCAATTTGTTGCCAGTTTGAAGTTTGAAGCACTGGATACTGTTTTATATATAAACCAAATATTAAATATATATTTTTAAATAAACTCTATACTTGGTTTATAATTTTCCTTTGAAATTGAAATAAATTATTATATAATGAAGAGTTCATGTGTGATGACTCATTCGTTGATTAAGATTTTTTCTTCTTTCCGCAAAATGTGCCATATGTTTTCACTTAATTGTCACTGTATTTTGATGGGTTGATTTGATTTTTCCCAACAAAATCGTAACACCAATAATAATGAAAAGTCTTAATACAAAATAAGTACTTAAATTATATTTCTATTCTCAGAAAGTGTCTAAATTATTTTGATTCATCTTGAATGACATTACAAGCGTTATCAATTTAGATGTCCAGGCCATCAATAGCACTAATTTCTCCATTTATATGACATGTGTTATAATATGATATTTTTTAATATTATTATATTTATAAAAAACACTAACTTCTCTTAAATTATAAAAAAATCACAAAATACCTAATATCCGCAAATTTTATCCTTAACTCGTCACCGCAACCTTTTCGCCCACGACCACCGTCGCCGACATAGTCTCTACCATCCTTCTAGTCATACACAGTTGTAGTTGTTGACGATTGGTTGTCGAGATCGTGTGGGAACACGTTTTTCATCATAAGGTTCGCGTGGTATAAAATGTCGATCGACTGTCGGTCGATCATAATTTTATGGGGATTTTGGTCGTCGAGGGGAGATGAGGTCGGGTGGAGCTTCGTTGACGACAAAGGTCGATGATTGGCGTGATTTTAGGGGTTAAAATGAAGGTTTTTAAAGTTTAAGGTTATTTCAAAAATATTCATGTTTTACTTTAAAAATATATATAGTTTCAATTTTTTTAATTTTTAATAAAATTTTTAAAAGCGTCAAATTGTGACACGTGTTATTTAACGGAAAATTAACGTCATTGACGGTCTAGACACCTAAATGTGTAATATTTGTAACGTTATATACTTGTATAAGTCAAAAAATAGTTTAGGCACCTATTCGGAAAAAACATTATAGTTTGGACACTTATTTTGGTGGTCAAACGAATCATTGTTGTTCTTAGATGTCACAGGTTCGAGCACCAGCTACTGCAGCAGGGTGATTGAGCGTTTATTGTCAAATGATTGAGAGTATTTAGAACATATACTACTTTGTAATCACCTTAGCTTTATTAAAAAAATTAAATTTATTGATTATAAAAAAATTGTTGTATTTACTACATCGAAAAAGAGAATATAATTATAAATTTCAGAGTTTAAATTTATCCCATTTTTTAAAATTTATTACACAATTCGGATCTATTATGATTTAATGTAAAAAATCCTTAAATAAATTGTGGAACAACGTTGCATTGTGGTCCCAAGGACGTGCCTAACCCATGCATACTCCAATTCAAAGAATCAAACCTAACATTGACTTATGTTTTTAAAATATTTGTGAAAACTAACCTTCTTTTTTTCAAAGTCTAAACATGGAATTCAGCAGTGTTTCTACCAAAAATCACTCAAATATTATAATATTACATATCTGACATTATTTCTTCAAATTTTTACGATCTAGCACCAAACAAAGTAATAATAAGGCGCGTTACGTGAAACACGTTTTTTCTTAGGTGGACCGAAGGCGCATCTCCTGGAACATGCTTTCCTAAAGAAATATTGACATGACACCACGTGAAGAAACGTGTTTCAAAGATCGCACCTTTCAGGGTTTTCTTGTCACATCAGATTTCATAAAAGCATTTCAAAAAAAAATACTTAAAAAATTTTTGAAAAATAAAACTATAAGGACTACCAACATAATTTAATACATATTAGTTTCGTGAGTTAAAGAGTTTAATGTTGTTAATTTATATAGCATTTTGAAGTGTTTAGGTTATGTTTCTTAACCACGTGGGATAAAAGTTAAAATGTGTATTCCTTAACTTTTTTTTATCGATATATTTAATTAATCCGCTTATACACTATTGTTAAATTATATTAGGTTAATATTTATAATTAAGACTTATATTAATTAAGATTATATATTTTTGATATGTTAATATATTTAAATACTTATTTTTTTTTAATTATGAGTTCGAAAAATTTAAGTAACCCAAATTAAAAATATTTCATTGACATATAAATGTATTATTTATTAAAAATGATTAATTAGACTGTTATGTGATCCTAATTGTATGATTATATAACTTATAAAAATATTTATATTATCATTTTTTAACTAATTTATATTATCATTTTAGTAGTAACAACTAATGGTGTTATTATTTATGTACATAAATTGTTATATGATTTTTCTAATTATTAGTGAAGACAAATTTCTATATAAACCTCACATTTTACATGTTCATGGCACCAAGCAATATATATATTTTTTTTCATATTTTTATATTAGATTCAACTTAAATTATAAATATAATTAAATCATATTCAATAAATAATACATTTATATGTCAATGACATATTTTTAATTTGTGTTACATAAATTATTTGAACTCATAATTAAAAAATAAGTATTTAAATATATTAACATATAAAAAATATCTAATCTTAATTAATAAACCTTAATAATAAATATTAACCTAAAGAAATTTAACATTAGTGTATAAGTAAATTCATTAGATATTAGATATAGAGATAATATAGAAAAGTTGAGGAATACTCATTTTAACTTTTATTATACATGATCAAGAAACATAATATAAACACTCCAATATGTCTATTAGACTATTCAACTCATGTAACTAATATGTATTAAATTATATTGTTGGTCACTATAGTTTTATTCTTTTATTTTTTTAAAAAATATTTTATAAATATGATTTTAGTAAATATGATGAGGCAAGATAACCCTATAAGACACGCACATTGAAATATACATTCCCACTTGATGCAATGTCAATATTTCTCTTGGAAAGCGCAGTCAGAGGATGCACCTTCGATCCACCTATCAGAAAAGGTGTTAGATAAAATTTGAAGAAACGGTGCCTAACTGGTAATATTATAATATTTTGATGATTTTTGGGTAAAAAGCCTAATTCAGCGTACTATTTTGTCAACGAAAAGATAATTAAAATCTGAATTTAGAAGATAGCTGCAGAGGATGCTTCCTTTCGTAATTGGAACAGTTCATTATTTTAGCTGTCACCGGGAAATAGATAATCAAAAGCATCGACTTGGGATGTAGTGTGCAGTTTCCAGGAATGTCATGAACTCGAAACCATATCTATGTCGAACGCGGTGATTGATTCTCGATTTAATTTGCAACATCGAAGAACCTGGTGTTTAAAACGGTTCGCATAAACCACGTGCAGTAACACAAACCGAAGTTGTCAGTAGGATGAATGGATGAGGCAGCATTCATATGCTTTCCCGGAAAATGCAGGAACAAAGAAGAAAATACAGAATATATCCATTTTGAACTACTTGAGGAACATAGAAGAAAATACGTATTTCTCCGAAGCGAAAATCACATACGAGTATGCGTCCAAAACATAATGTATCGATTCAGATCCGTAAGCTTAGCATAGGATAGAAGCATCAGCTTAAGCTTTCTCATATTAAAGAATCTCCATTGATGACAGTAAAATTTCCCTTAGATATGGTAAGGGAGCTATTGCTAATAAAAACCGAGCAATCTGTGATGGTAAGATCGGAACTGAAGGTGAAGTAAATGATCAGACTTTGGAAATTTTCATACCCTTAAAACGGATGCACATCAGCATCCTTCTCAGAATACCCTCGCCCTGACATAGTTAGATGTGGGATGCCTGCATTGGCAAGATATAGGAAGTCTCACAGATTAGAAGAATCCCAGCTTGCATATACAGCCCCGATGATTTTATCATGCAGTATTGGTCCAGAGCAAGCAATAATCCCCCGGTCAAGACCTTTTAAGTACAGTCCCCAACTGAAGTCCAAGGGGCGACCTCCTGCGTCAGTTACAACCCCACCAGCTTCTTCTACGATGACAACACCGGCAGCATGATCCCATATCTTTTCTTTGTATCCGGATCTTGCAAACTTTATAAAAACCTCAGCATCACCCCGAGCTATTGCTGCATATTTTACCATGCTATGGACTCGCATAGGTTGGTTTCTGCCATTAGAATGAATGAAAACATGTATTAGAATCAAACAAGATGGCCTCGCAGACACTGTATAATTTCTAACCAGTATTCTTGTTTATTCTTCTCAAACATTAACAGGTAGAAATGAACTAGGAGTGAAAATAAAAGTAACACACTTGACACCTATGCTGTTCGCAAGCCCCGCCGTAAACAAGTGGTTCGAATTTGCCTTTTCTACAGGTTCGCAAAAAGTCGCCAGCGATGGATCATCAACGGCAGAAGCCTTTACCAATGTGGCCATTCAAATTTTGTATCCCCGTGGATCAATGGTTGCATCAATGCCCGACCACTTCCTCTCCTTGCATACATCACACATCATTTTTGCCAAATATCAGAAGATGGCGAAGCCTTTGGCATAGTTTGATTGCGCTGATGATTATAATTCAAGAACTCCTTTTTCATAGGGTAATTGGGGCAACCAAGAACTCCGAGAACTAGCTTCCCGTCCTCGATCAAAGCTAGTGCTACAGCATACTGGTCACCACGAATAAAACCCAATGTCCCGTCAACGGGGTCCAGCACCCAATGTCTTCCAGTTGGACCCCCTGTTGGGTTGCATCTACTGATAGCCTCAAGGATTTGTGAAGTCTCGAGAGCTTTCTTTGGCAGCTGGAGACCATATTTTGGTGCTTCGGCTAAGCACTCGTTCACAGTGTTGACAACAGCTTCAAGTAAACTTGCTGCATCAGACTTTGAGAGTGTTTGAACATCTTCTTCAGCAACAATGGACACACTCTGCCCTTCCAAGAACTCAGAAAGCAGCCAACTAACAGTTGCTTGGACACTCCAGTCTGTTAAGATTGAGACGATTAAAAAATCAATGTAAAATCAAAGTTTCACAAACACCATGCAAATAATTAACACAAGTACATAAACAGTAGACATTGAGTAAAAAAGGACTGTAACAGACAAGTATATACTAATAAGTACGATGATCAGTTATGAAACCATTTACTGCAAAATGCATTTCAAGTACAAGATATGATGGAAGGTGTAAAGTTTCGGGATAAAGCGACTTTTAGTCCCTGAATCTAGAACACCTTTCAGATTAGTCCTGTTGATTTTTTGTCTGCTTTAGTCTTGAACTTGGATTTTCATCCATTTTTAATAATTTTGAAGATATGGTACTGTCCTATTTCAGTGTCATATCATTATAAAGTTTGAAAATAATAAAAATTATCAAAATTAAAAAAAACATCAAGTTTAAAGGTAAAAAATTATTTTACTAGTAATAATAACGATAAATCATAATTATGTAACGAAGTAGTCTTTCAAATGATTTGATTCACTTACTATTCTTTTATTATTTCGTAAAACGTTTCATTCGACAGAGACAATGATTTTTTTATGAATGTTACTGTATTCTTTTAATGTTGAATCATCATTTTAAATTAAATATTTTTTCTTTGCATATTTAAATTTAATATTTTTATTTTTGTATGAGTATTTAAGCCCATTAATCATATAAAAGAATGAGTACAATTGAAAAATAATTTATATGATTAAAGATTAAGGAGTGAAACTAAAAATTTTAAAAAAACAATGAAATGTTGAGGACTAATCCTATTGTTATACCAAAAATAAATTGATTTCTTTTCCACAATAATCTGATGGCTGCTTAATATTGACTTCATCTTCCTTTCTTTGTATCAAATCCTGACTTTGCCCCCTCAATATGAAAAGAAAGAAAGCAAGAAAGAATAAATATTCAGCTGAGCTATATATACATTTATTTAGCTGAGCTGGCTTAACAGCCTTAACTAACTCTTAACAACTTGCTAACAGCCCCTAACCAACTAACCAACTCACACAACCATATCAGCTCAACAACACACGCCTATATTCACACACAATCACACTCATGCATTACTAATATTCCAATATTCTTCCTGCTCCTTCGACCCTTTTTTAACGACAGGGCAATACACATAGTTGATCTCTGAAGACCTCAAACACTCCCTTTGTTAGCGCCTTGGTCAGCCCGTCTGCCACCTGATTGAATGCTGGAACATAGTTCACCTGAAGTTGTTTAGCTTCAACCTTTTCACAAACGAAATGCACGTCCATG